GCAGTGTTTCATTCCACTGTTCCTGGGATTGCCATGGGAGCCTGGGGGTGGGGCTGATTTGATGGCATGGCAGCTAACAAAAATAGCAACAAGACACAAATGATGAGGAAGATCAGCCTGACAAGTGGGAGAATAAAGAAAAGACATCTGTAAACACCAAGAGCTAACTACACAGTAGCTAGGCAGTAGAAGAGCTCGTGCCTGACCATGCTAAGCCAACTCCCTATCACTCCTCTTTCAGAAGCCAAAAGTAAACACAAAAGATGAGTCAGCTCGAGGCAGTGGTGTGCGAGGCACACTTTGTCACTTCAGCAATTCCTCCTGTAAAGGCGGAGGAAACTTCTTTTAGGAGCTGACAAGGAGCCAGCGCTTCACTGACCTTCTCGGATACAGACTCACGTTGCCCTTGTGAGGGAAGCACGTGATGATCACTTTTCAAAGAAGGAAATCTGAGAGGTGCGAAGAGACAAGTCCAAGGTCATGCAGCAAAAGGGGACTAGGGCCAATTTGTTCAGGTCCCAGAGTCTGGCGTCCGACTCATTAATCAATTCAAGCATCTTTTAAATTTCTTTTCACTTGAATTTTCATCTTTAAGCATCTGCTTCTCCACCAGCAAGTAGCCAATGAAGATGGAACATGATGTAATTTTGTCAAGGTTGTGAGGAAAGGTTCGAACCATTCTGAGATATCCAAATTGAATATATTATTGTTGTTCCTCTTACTACTATTATGATGACCAGACCGTAGGGATACCAAAGAATGCTAAGTTAAGAGCATCCTCCAAAGTCTCTTAGAAATAACATATAAAGATAACATGGACATCTACTCAGTCCCCTTGGTAAGGCCTAGATCCCCAAGGGGGTAAACAGAGGACAATCCTGTTTGGAATCAGTGGTAAAAGCTGAAGGATCCCAGAGAACACTGTCTGTTTCCTATCACTATCTTCTATGTATTGAGCACATTGCTGAAAGCAGAACAAAAACATCACTGAGGAAAGAGAAGGGAGGGTAAAGGGGAATACCAGCTACTACCACTGTATCCACAGATTCCAAACCAGATTCCAATCCACAGCAAAGGGCTAAAAACCTGAGTGGACAGAAAACAACTCTAGCCTGCTACTATACATGATCTTAACCCATCTCCAGCCTTGCTTCACAAACAGAGTACTTAGGCAGGGACCTGTCTGGGAGACTTAGCAGAAAACAAGAGATGAAAAAACAAGGTTCCAGAAATTGATGGAATACCAACTGAAATGTTTTCACCAATCTGATGTGTGGTGGTAGCACTCACTAATCTATGTCAAGAAATTTGGAAGACAGCTACCTGGCCAAATGAATAAGGAAAGGTGACCCAACAGAATGCAAAGTCATCAAACAATAACACTGTGTCACACACAAGTAAAATTTTGTTGAAGAGAATTCCAAAACAGCTACAACAGCACAGGAACAGGGGACTGCCTGATTCAAGTGGGATTCAAATGAGTGTGAAACTGGAATTATCATTGTTGATGTCAGTTGGATCTTAGCTGGGAGCAGAGAAAAATGAGAATGATGTTTACTTGTGTTTTTTGCCTATGCAAAGGCATTTGACTGGGTGTATTTGCACCTGTAAAGATTTACAGCCTCGGAAACCCTGTACAGGATCGCTATGAGTCGGAACCGACTTGACGGCACACAACAACAACAACAACATCATAACTAGCTATCGACAGCATAGAGAGTAAAGGGAATTCCAGAACATTTAATTGTATTCATGTGGAACCAGTATATCGACCATGAGGCGGTCATTCAAAAAGAACAAGAGGAGACTGTGACTTATAGGTATCATAATAAACAGAGAAAAGATTGAAGTTGTCAAGGGTTTCATTTTACTTGACTCCACAATCAACAAGTATGAAAGCAGCAGTCAAGAAATCAAATGATGTACTGCAACAAGCAAATCTGCTACAAGAGACCTCTTCAAAATTTTAAGAATCAAAGATGTCACATTGAGGACTAAGGTTTGCCTAACCCAAGCCATGGTATTTTCAATTACCTCATATAGAGTTCTGGATAAGCACAGGGCCGCTAACTGCAACATTGGTGGTTCAAACCCACCAGCTGCTCATCAGAAACCCTATACAGAGTTGTTATGGATGGGAACAACATATGCATGTGAAAACTGGACAATGAGAAAGGAAAGCTGAAGAAGAATTGATGTCTTTGAATTATCTTGCTCATGAAGAATATTAAATATATCATGGATATCCAGAAGAATGAACAAATCAGTCTTGGAAGAAGGACAGCTAGAATGCTCCTTAGAAGCAAGGAAGGGGGATCATCTTATGGACTTTGGACATGTCATCAGGAGGGACCAGTACCTAGAGAAGAACATCATGCCTGGTAGAGAGTCTGCGAAAAACAGGAAGACCCTCAACGAGGTGGACTGACATAATGATAAACTTGCAACAATGTAACAACATAAGGTTGCTCAAACCAAGCACTGTAAAATGGCTCAGGACCCGGCAAGGCAGTGTTTTATTCCGATTTATATAGGGCTGGTTACCGTGAGTCAGAACCTACTCGACGGCAACTCCTCCAGTTACATGGAAGCTCATCGCAGTATTTTCGGAATAGCCGTGATTCTTACATTAGCAAAGAGATTTTACCCATCTTTTGGGTTTGCAGGTGATAATCGTCCAATTTACACTAAAGACTTCCAAGAAAGATGGCTGAAACCTAATAAAACGACAAAGGAAAAAATGAGAAAGGAAAAATTTCTATCTGATACCAGAGTGTTGTCCAGAGTCAGCCGGGTTTGGACTGAGCTGTAGGTTGCATCCCACTAGAGAACCATTTAGTGTGGCCAAGGGTTTACAGATGTGTTAGAGACATAAGCATTGGAGTTGCTGAGGACCAGGGGAAGGGTACATAATGGACCTTGTGAACCTTTCTCATCAAGACTAATTGCTAGTTAAGCCCAGCATGCTTGATAGAGCAGAAGGTCAACAAAAACAAGGGAAAATCCTCAATGAGCTGGACAGCTACAACAATGGACTCAACATACAAGAAGATGACATAGGACTGGGCAACATTTTGTTCTGTTATAACAAGGTCACACCTTGTGTTGTAGTCGACTCAGCAGCAACTAACAACTAACAAGTATTATCCCATCAAAACAGAAGAGAAGAGTTACTGATTGCCTGGAATTGCTGAAAGGATTCACTTTTTTTTTTCCATACTAGCGTAGCAAAAAACATCTCTTACTTATTGGCTTTGCTGAACAAAGGGAAGGGAAGAAATGAAATACAATAATAAAATCCTGGACTACAGAACCAATAGTGCCTCCCCACTTGAGACCTGGGAAAACCCTTGAACCAAAGTGCCAGTGAACTCATAAAGAAAGAAACAATTTAAAAACAAAGGCCAACCATTCTGTCATACCCAGGGCAAGACTTCTTTCACAGTTACTGTAGTTACATAAAAAGAGCAACAACCAAATTCACCACCTGAACCAGTGCATAACCCTTCCTATACTGGCATGTGGGCAGCAAATGCAGCTGGTCCTCCAGTATCTCCACAGCACTATTCCATCACAAAGGACAGGAGAGCAACATTTAGTCTTGAGGGAACACAAGAAAGACCTAAGGACTCTATTTCTTGTTGTGGTTCCTGGATAAAGACAACTGGCCAGAAACAGCATACAGTATGTGGAAAAGGAGACGATACACATGAAAAGACATCAGAAGAAGCTCCACATTCAAGTTAAGGAAAAAATTTCAGATAGGCCAGGGTTGGCATCTTGTCCTTCTGAGAGAGCCCAGCATTAGGGCCTACAAGAGGTCTAGTTCAATTTCCAGTGCATGGGACTTGAAGGCCATTGTATATGAGGAATCACTAAGTAACTTACATTATCCTTTTGCCACATCTATTTAAAAAAGATACTACATATAGCTCCATTTTACTTCACGAAATGGATGACCCAGCTGAGAAGGAAACCCCCAAATTCCAGTTCCCAGTGTCCAGGGCCCACCCCCACATGCTATTCTGGTGCTGCACAGTGATACACTATCAACCAAATACGTAACCTAGAGTCAAGTAATTCCAAGGATCGGAGGAAAGACCACAAAAGAGATTAACACACAAAGATTAGACAGCAAAAGGGAAAAAGTACTGGCACCAGTGAATGGGTCTCCCAGGAAACCATTCCTGGGATGAGCACGTGTTTGTGTGAGAACCTAGTCTGACCTTGTCCTAACCCCAAGTAGGCAGATAGATGCTTTCAACAGGTGTTGGTTTCTGCCCTTTTTTGAGGGTTTCCAGAAGGAACAAGAACAAGGAGACTCTGTTACCTTCTTTACTACAACTTGACTGTACTTTCTTAGCTCTCCCCACCCCACGGCCACCCCCAGATCTCACTGAGGTACCTCCCCAGTTCCCTTGTAGGCTCAAATATGTGGGAGGGCACACAAAGTGCAGGCAGGCAGTGAGAGGTCCATCCATTCCTATACCTACACACTATGGTGCTTGGCCTTCAGTCACCCAGCAGGCATGAAAGGCCTGAGGACACTGAAAGGCTCACACTCACACCAAATGAGATTCGCTTCATGGTACCAGGGACAGTGAACGAGAAGCAAAGGCCATCACAGAACCTTCAATAAAGGCAGATCCCTTGGATAACAAATGAGTTCCAGTCCTAACGTCTGTCTTTAAGTCAAATTTGTACGTAAGTCGAATAGTTAGGTACAGTTTGTAAGTAATGTCAGTTAATCAAATGTTTGTCTTTGTATATATAATAGTGTTCCTTTCATAAAAGCATTAAAGAAACACTTTCAGATACACTAAAGCATCTTTAACATACTAATATAGTAATAAAGATAATTACATTTTGATGCATGTCACAAAGTGGTGCCCACAAACCACTATGTGTATCTTGAATTTTTAGTATAACAAACTTTATGGGGATTGGTTTGTAACTACAGGTTATACATGTCAAACGTTTGTAACCCAGGAACTGCCTGTACTGGTGTTTGGGAAGTGTGAACTCAGGGAAACAAAGGAACCCCAGGACAGGCTCTGGGCATACCCAGGCTGGCTGAGGAGGGGCAGCAGCAGACTGATTTGGCTGAGTGACTGTGCAGGGTCACCCTAAAGGCGAGGAAAACTGTGGAGGGTGGGGAGCATGCACACACCCTTCCCTCCCCTACAGAGCCAGAGCTGATGGCTGCAGCCCCTTCAGTGGACCTGTGCAGGAAGGCCCTGTAGGGCAGGAGACTCTCTGAAGTGGCCCTATCTCCATCCCTTCCATCTTCAAAGTGCATTATCAGTGCAAGAAGTAGGGCTGGATCTCAGGAGGTCCAACTCTGAGTAAGGGCTGTGCCAGCCAGCTCTCCCCATGGCCTCCTACATCCCCCTTACCCACCCCAAACTTTTCATGCTAAGACCAGAACTCTTGCTGGATCTCATAAGTGGCAGGCCTGTGTGTGTTTAGTCCAGCTCTGCACAGTGGCATTGTACTGTCCTGACTCTGCCCCTCAGCATCCAGGTCCAGAAGCGTCCGCTCAACGGAGGGTAGAGACCCTGCCTGGAAGGGAAGCAGGGCTGGAAGTCCAGGACGCTCCTCTACAGTGCTACTGCTGCTAGCAAAGCAAGAGTCCAGATTGCTGGGGGTCTCCGTGCTGGAGCTGTTGGCCGGGGAGGTGCTGCGCGCGTGGCTTGGGGACACAAACCACCAAGGGTCCAGTCTTTGTCGGTTGGCAGAAGGACGTGGCCGAGGCAAGAACTCCAGGGTCTTGGGTCTCTCCAAAGTTGAGTCTTGTTGTATATTCCAGCGCCGTGGGGTTGGGGGGAAGACAACATTGGGGTCAGGAAGACGGGGGATTTCACTTGGGTCTCGGCTGGGGCTGGGGGTTTTCAGCATTCCTAGTCAAGAGATGAAAAGAGAGATATCAGTGGATAGTGCCTGATTTCTGAAACAGATGTATACTGCTTACACCTCACCCTGCCATACCCTATTCATTTGATCAACAGATGTTTAACAAGTACCTAACTACGTGCCACACTGTGTGCTGGGAGGCACTAGGGATACAAGAATGAACTAGAAGGCCACAGTCTCTGCATCTGGTAATAAGAATAGGACAACCAGAGCCACATTTCTAATGAAATAACTTGAGGCAAACTACTACCTGTGATGCAGCTAGCCACCTATTTTATAAATAAAATTTTATTGGAAAACACCCATTCAGTATCATAGTATCCACTTCAGCACTACAACATCAAAGTTGAATAGATACAACAAGGACGATATGATCCATAAAACCTAAAATATGCACTACCTGGCCTTTAACAAAAAAAACGTTTGCTGACCTTTCATGGAATGTCCCTGCACTTACTATTCATCCATTTAGTAAACATGTGATGGGAACAGAGCTAAGTATCAGAGGCCTCAAGATGAGTAATAGAGGGTCTCTGTTCCTAAATAGGTCATATATCTGAATATAACAAGAAACTCAGAGTGGGAAGGGGAAGCCTAATAGTAAAATACAGTCACCATTCACACTCAGATTGCACTGAAAAGGTTACCACCCTTCCTCCCTTCTCCTAGTGGATCAGGACAGTTCCCAAGTCAGAGTGAGGTCATTTAGAGAATTAAGGCCACCATTTCTTTGTCAGTTTGTCATACTGTGGTGACTTGTGTGTTGTTGTGATGTTGGAAGCTACACCATTGGTATTTTAAATACCAGTAGAGTCACCCATGGTGAATAGGTTTCATTGGAGTTTCCAGACTATGAAATATGAGGAAGGAGAAGCAGACAACTGTGGACTGGTTAGCCACTGAAAACCCTATGACTAGCAGCAGAATACCATCTGATGTAATGCCACAAGATGATCCCCTCAAGTTGGAAGTCAATCAAAATACCACTAGAGAAGAGAAGAGCTGCCTCCTCAAGATAGAATTGACCTTAGTGATATGAATGGAGCAAAACTTCTGGGAATCTTCACTTGCTAATGGGGCACAACACAAACTTAGAAGAAACAGCTGCAAACATTCATTGATAGTTGCAATGTAGAATGTAGGAAGCATAAAGCTAAGAAAACTGGAAGTTGTTAAAAATGAAACATACACATACAAATCGATATCTTAGGCATTCGTGAGCTGAAATGGACTGGAATTGGCCATGTAAAATTAGACAATCATATGGTTGGTTTACTATGTTGGGAATGACTTAAGAGTAATGTCTTCATTCATCATCAAAAAGAATATTTCAAGAGAACAAAAATCATGGAGACGGTGGAAATGCAGTGAGGAGCTCTGTCAGCAACAACACAAAATACCAAACCAAGCAGGCTCAGGGGATGGTGCCAGAACTCTGAAACACATATAAAGTAATATTAGAAGGTTGAAAGGCTTTCAGCTAGAGGACTTTGTAGCAGAAGCAAGAAATCCATTGATTTCTAATTCAAGATGCTCAGCTGCTCACAGAGCCACCATCTTGGGAGACACCAAGGAGGGGAAGGATGAGAGCAGCCATGGACACCCTGACAGAACCGCAGAGATAAAGGTGTGGACACTCTTTTTTTTTTGTATCTGTTCATTGGTATCTCACTGACTGGGCACCTCCATTCTGGTGACTAGAGGGGGTGCCTGAGTGAGTGGACACCCCCAACCTCCAACTCCGGAGGGGTCTACTACACATGTGCACAGATCTCCTTGAAATTTAAAGTGACAGTTTCCACTTAAAAGAAAACAGCCACAGCCGGCCCCAAACTTTTTCTAACTAGAAAAAATTCCTGAACAGGGATTGCGGAGCAGGACAGGCAGACTAAAAAGGAAATAGGCTGAAAATTAAATCCTGAGTTATATCACAATAACCAACAGTGGCTTCTTGAAATTTCTCAGGAAGAAGAATGAAAAGGGAAGCCCATCCCCTGATCACATCTACCTGGAGGCACTCAGAAAGCATAAAAAATACCCAAATACACACCCATCTAATTATTAAGGCCACAGATAACCCCTGAATATGCCAAGAAAACAGAAGCAGATGACCATATCAGCACATGTCTAGAAACAAGATAAAGTGACTGAGGCAAATGAGCTGGAGGTAGACCTACACTCCATACTTGAAGATGGGCAAGCTTTGGAAATGCCTGAGAAGGAATTCAGAAAAATGATTATAAAATGTATCAAAACACTATACAATGGAGTTGAGAAAAATAACGAAGAAGTCATGAAAGTGCTACAGGAACAATCAAACAAAATAGATACAGCATTGAAAACAACTCAAAACTTACAGAAAGAGGGCCAAATGATGAAAAATAGAATATCAGAAATGGACAATACACTGAAAGGGCAAAGGAGTAGAACTGAAGAGATAGAAGGTAGAACTAGTGAGCTAGAAGATAAATCTCTCAACACTACTAAGATAGAAGAGCAAACACAAAAAAAGGATTAAAAAAAATCTGAAGAAGGTCTAAGATTCATGTTGGACAACATGAAGAGGAATAACTTTAGAATTGTCAGCATTCCGGAACACAGAGCAGATAGTTGAAGAGCTTCTGGAAGAAAAATTTCCTATCCTGAAAAGTGAAAAGATAAGCATTCAAGAAGCTCAATGAATCCCAGGAAGGATACACCCTAAAAGAAAATCACCAAGACATATAATAATCAAGCTCTCCAAAATAAAAGATAAGGACAGAATCTTGAAAGCAGCTAGGGAAAAGAGAAATATACAAAGGCAAACAAATCAGATTAAGCTTGGATTTCTCAACAGAAGCCAGGCAGGCAAGAAGGCAATGGGGAGAAATATATAAAACCCTGAAAGAAAAAAAATGCCACCCAAGAATCCTCTATGCAGCAAAGCTGTCAATCAAATATGATGGTGTAATCAAAATATTCCAGGATGAACAGAAGCTAAGGGATTTTGTCAAAGCCAACCTGCTATGAAAAACACCCTAAAGGAAGTTCTGTGACAACAGCCAGAGAATGACATACATGGCAGCATCACCCTGAATTCAATTGACAAATGGAAGAATCAAGAACAGAATGAAATGAAAAGAACAGAGGATCTGGGAGGTCAGTTTATGATCAAAACAATGTGAAAGACGGTAAACACAGAGGAACAAAGATCCAAGTGGTGGGAAGGTCAGATATATTCCAGGACTGTCTTAAATGGAGGGAAGAATTATTGTAAAATAGACATGAGTGGGATAGAAAGGAATGTTGGGAAACATGATTAGAGAAAACTTGTAAGCCTGTCTTCAGCCTATAACTGATTGGAATACCTAAAAGGGGTTCTAGAACTTGCCCAGTGAAACAGGCCTCTTGCAAAGCCTTTGCAGAGTATAGGACCTTAGGTGGAATCCTGAGTCCCATCCAGAACCTTATGAGGTGGGACATTCCCACTAGCAAGGACAAGCAGAGCAGCCTGGAAAAGCTAGAGCAACAGAAGATACATCTTCAAAGAAAGATAGTCAGGAAAAACCCAAAACAAAAATGTCAGCATGACTGGCTACTACAAGAATAAGCAAGGTGTTCGCCAAGAAGCCATCAAGGCAAGTAATCAAGTCCCTTCAGGACAAACTCCCCTCTAAGACTGAAACTCAAAGGGAACACACAAACAGGCATTCAAGCTTGCTGGCGACCACACTGGTCTACTGGTGAATGGAAGAGGGGGAAAGGCAGCAATGAAGAAATGGGCTGAGTTCAACCTCAGTCCATTGAATCCCACTAACCTGGAGATGAGAGAGAAGATGAAGGGCTGGTTGGTCCAAAGTGTGGTGAGATTTGGGGAAAGTTGAGCCCATGGACAAGGACATAGCCACAGAGGGCTACAACTGAGAGTGAAGCACCCAGCTGATATGAAGCGAGGAGAGATGCACAAGAACACCTAAATTTGCAGACAGTAACCATTTGACCTAGCCTTGATGACTTGATAATCAGAACTTGACTAGAGGAAGATTTTTTTAAAAAAACCTTTTTTTTTTGATAAAGGAAACAAGGGTAAATTGCTACAATCTGATGAACCTGACCTATACTCATGGAGGTAGTAACTCTAAATACCAATAGAGAGGGAAGGAGTCTTCATATCAAGTATCAATGTTACCCCTCTGTACACAGGGTAGATAGGGATGGGCAACTTAGACATTGGCTACCTAAAATGAGGGAGAAATAAAGGCACGAAGTGAGTGGCTTACAGGGTTTCAAGAGGGAGTCTAGTTTTAGAGTTTAGGGTGGGGCTTGATGGCGGCTAGGGTGGAGGTGCATTGAAGTTCGCCATCATCAAGACCACAGAATACCAGGCAAAGCAGATTCAGGGCAGAGCTCCAACACTCGGAACCACGTAGCTAGGAATATTTTAAAAGTTTGAAGGATTAAAGCTAGTGGAACTTGAAACAGAAGTAAGAAATCATGTACTTTTGAATCTGCTGGGTCCGGTGGCCCAGAGCTGACAACTTGGGTGAGACCAAATGCCAAGACCAAGCTGAGGAGCAGACACACCATGGAAAAACACCTCAGGAACCTCGGAGCAGAGGTGGACAATGCACTTTGTTGGTTTTGACTTTGCTCTGATTTTTTTTATTTTTAAGGTATCTGTTCATTGCCCCCCCCCCATTTATGCACCTCCATTCTGGTAACTAGAGGGGGTGCCTGAATAAGTGGACACCCCCCATCCTCATTACTGGTGGGTTCTCTGCCACGCATGCACACAGATACTCTCAGCCTAAGAGCTGGCCCTGAACTGTTTTGTGGTTTTTTTAAATACAGGAAAGGCCAGGACAGAACTCAGCAAAGGAAGACACACAGAACAATGAAAGCAGCAACACCACACACAAAAAACCCCCAACATAATGGCAGCAATTAATCCATACCTATCGATAATTACACTGAATGTAATCAGATTAAATGCACTTGTTCAGAGATGTAGGCTGGCAGAATGGATAAGAAAACAAATCTTTCAACATGCTGTCTACAAGAGACACATCTCACTCACAGAGACAAAAACAGATTAAAAGTCAAAGGATGGAAAAAAATATACCAAGCTAATTGCAATAAAAAACGAACAGGAGTGGCAGTTCTAATCTCTGATAAAATCAACTTTAAGGCAAAACCCAGCATAATAGATAAAGATGGACATTATCTCATGATTAAAGGGACAGTTGAACAAGATGACATAACCAAAATAATTATCTAGCCTCCCAATGAAAGAGCTCCAAAATATATAAGGCAAACTCTAATAGATTTGAAGAAAGAAATAGATGAATCTACAATAATAGTTGTTGTTATGTGCTGTGGAGTCGGTTCCAACTCATAGTGACCCTACACGGGGTTTCCGAGGCTGTAAATCTTTACGGGAGCAGACCACCTCATCTTTCTCCCACGAAACCGCTGGTAATTTCGAACTGCTGACCTTGCGGCTCACAGTCTGATTCGTAACCTCTACGCTACCAGAGCTCGTTTTCATATACCACTTTCAAAAATAGATAGAACAACCAGAAAGAAACTTGACAAAGACACAGAAGAACTAAACAACACAATCAGCCAACTGGACCTCATACATGTGGTATCGAGCATTTCAACCCAACAAATGTATAATACATATACATTTTAAGTACACATGGAACATTCTCCAGAATAGACCATGTCTTAGGCCACAAAACAAATCTCCATAAATTTACAAATATCAAAATACTATAAAGCATCTTCTCAGACCACGATGTTATCAAATTAGAAATCAACAATAGGAAGACCAAGGAAATAAAGTCAAATACATGGAAACTGAATAACACCCTGTTGAAAAGTGACTGGGTAGTAGAAGAAATTAAACGTGAATTCACAAAGTTCCTTGAAAACACAACATACCAAAATCTTTGGGACACGGCAAAAGCGGTGCTGAGAGGACAATTTATTGCAATAAATGCACACGTCCAAAAAGAAGAAAGAACCAAAATTAACACATTAACACAGCATCTACAACAATTAGGAACAGACCAACAGAGGGAACCTACAGCCACCAAAAGAAAAGAAATAATCAAGATTAGAGCAGAAATAAATGAGATAGAAAGCATTAAAACTATAGAAAGAATCAACAGGACAAGAAGCTGGTTCAAGCCAGATTTAGATGAGGGTGTGGAATGAGGGATACCATATCTGAGATTGGATGAACCTTGGTTGGGAGCAGAAAATACCAGAAAGATGTTTACCTGTGCTTTATTGACTATGTAAAGGTTTTTGACTGTATGTATCATGACAAGCTGGGGAGAATGAGTATTTTGGATCACTTAATTGTGCTCATGAGGAACCTGTACCTAGACCAAGAGGCAGTCGTTTGAACAGAACAAGAGGGACACTAAATGGTGTAAAATCAGGAAAGGTGTGCACCACACTTGTATTCTTTCATCATACTTAATTCAGTCTGTACACTGAGCAAATAATCTGAGATGCTGGATTATACAAAGAATGTGACATCAGGATTGGATGTCATCAACAACCTAAGGCATTCTGGTAGCGTCATGGTTATGAGTTGGGCTACTAATCTCACGGTCAGCAGTTCAAAACTACCAGCCATTCCACGGGAAAAAGATGAGGCTTTCTGCTCCCATAAAGATTTATAGCCTTGGAAACTCTACACAGGATCGTTATGAGTCGGAACTGACTCCACAGCACATAACTGCCGCTGCTACCACCATCAACAACAATATGCAGATGATACAGCTTTGCTTGCAGGAAGCGTGTTAGCGTTGTTAAGTGCCATCAAGTCAGTTCTAGCCCACAGTGACCCTGCTGTTGAGCTTGAACCACCAATCTTGTAGTTCAAATCAACTTTGCAGTCCAGCACATTAGCCCACAGCAATACAACAGGAAGTGTATAGGACTTAAAATATTTACTGATGAAGGTCAAAGATAACAGGCTTCAGTATGAGTTGCACCTCAATGTAAAGAGAACAAAAATCCTCACCACTGGATCAGTAAATGGCAAATGGAGAAAATTGAAGTTGTTGAAGACTTCACTTTGATTTGATCCACTATCAACATACATGGAAACAGCAGTCAAAAAAATCAAACAACATATTGGATTAGGCAAATTTCCTGCACAAGACCTCCTTAAGATGTTCAAGAGCAAAGATGTCAGTTTGAGATGTCAGTTTGAGAACTAAGATGAGCCTGACCCAATCCATGGTATTTTCAATTGGTTCATGTGTTTGTGAAAGTTGTACAATGAATAAGGAAGACAGTAAAAGAATCAATACATTTGAATTATGGTATTGGTGAAGAATATTGGAAATACTATGCGCTGCCAGAAGAACAAACTAATCTGTGTTGGAAGAAGTACAACCACAATGCTCCTTAAAAGTGAGATTGGCAAGACCTTGTCTCTCATACGTTAGACATGCTGCCAGCCCCTAGAAAAGGACCCTATGCTTGGTAAAGTGGAGGGTCAGCTGAAAAGGAAGACCTCCCTGCAACTTGACAGACTGGCACAGTGGCAGCAGCCATAGGCTCAAGTGTGGGGATGGTGCGGGACCAGGCATAAGGCATAAGGCATAAGGCAGCTATGAGTCAAAATCTACTTGATGGCGTCTAACAACAAGAAATACAGAGTTTGTACGGGGAAACATCTAAGAGGAGGGTTTGTATACCTAGGAGCATCAGGTGCCAGAAGGAGAAGCAAGTGTACGAACATGTGTAGGAAGGTAGGTACACACATATCCAGGATGAAGAGTCAGGAGTGAGTAGGCAGTGAGCGTGGAAGGGTGTGATGAATGGGAAGAACCTTGCCTTATGAGTGTGTCTGTACTAATGGTATGAGAGGAAAGAGCCCGACTTTGTGGCAAAAAACACCCATCATGTGTACAGTAGAGACTTCCTTCCTGGCAACTTCGGTATCCTCTTTAGGGAATAACCAGAAGGTGGACCCCTGCCCTTCTTGTACCTGAAGACACCGTACACCTGTAAGAACCAGGGTCTGAATATCCCGCAGGAGTCCTGGTTTTCATCATTTGTCTATCTTCTTTCCATACCATAGCCACAGGAGAAAAAGTTGACCACCACTAGCTACCTCTCCCACCCCAGATCAACCAACCAATTATTTGATTGACTGAGTTGAAGGAGGAACAGAGTTCACTCAAATCCAGAAGTAGGAAGAGGAAATGAGGTGTGCCACAAACATCTCCACTTCCCTGGAAAGTAGCAAGGTGGGAAAGAGGAAGAGGACAGGACTCACCTGCTCCAGGACTGGTGCTCAAACCATTGCTGGAGGGGCTTCTGCTGGCTAGGAGAACCTCTGGTTTAAGGGCCCCATCAGAAGGAGTCCGCCGGTGACCATTTGGCTGTGTAGAGGCCGTAAGGGTGACATGGGTGGGAGTCAGGGATTGCTTGGGGTCTCGCTTAAAGCGTTCCACTCGGACATTAACCAGGGGATTGTGAGTGCAGAAGGGCAGAGGTGGAGCGTCAACTGGACTGACGGGCATCTCGTACACCACCATCTCCTCACTGTCAGAGCGCAGCAGGGAACGAGTGGAGTTGCACTCAGAGATGGAGGAGAGAGAGAGCAGCGTTAGGGAGGCAGAAGGGTCACCTAGCAACAGCATGGGTTCTTCCTTCTTGAAAAGCTTTCGGGAGGGGGGGCTGGTGCTTCGACGAGGACGGTTAGCCCTCTGAAAAAGACCTTCACGCCTCTTCTTCTCCTCTCGGGCTGGTGGCTCAGGCTCCTCTGGGGGAAGTAGCTGGCATTTGCCAGCTTCCAGCAGATCAAACCCTAGGCCTGTGGCTGCGAGAACAGCTCCGCAACCAAGCAGAGCCGCCTCACAACGGCGGTGATGGGTACCTCCCCGCTTGAGGCTGTTGGTAGGCGTTAGCTGAGGGGTACTGGTAGCTGAGTTGACTGGGGTAGGCTCCTCATGGACCCCATCACTGGAGGGGCCATCCCCATCCTCTCCACGAGGGAATGGGATACAGAGGTAGGACTGGTTGGGCGAATGCTGTAGACGATTCTCCTCGCTCCTTGGGCCTTCGCTGTCTTCATCCTCTGTGAAGGTAAGAGAAATGGAGGGGAGAGAGAAAATTAGAATAAAGCAATAAGAATAAGATTCTGCTCCCCCTTTCACCCCAAGGCCTTCTTGTTTAGTGTTAGGAATGCAAATACCAAATAGTCTGATGGGTGGGTGGGATAAGGAACCGGGCACCAAAACCCATCCACTCAACTCTGACCAACATGGGGGAAATTTCTCTTCATTCCAGAGTTTGCTTCTCTATTTGAAGAACAGCGGATCTGCTAATTTGGTAGTTCATTACATAAGGACCCTCAATATTGTTGTTAAGTGCCGTCGAGTCAGTTCCGACCCATAGCGACCCTGTACAGGGGTTCCGAGGCTGTAAATCTTCATGGGAGCAGAAAGCATCATCTTTCTCCTGCGGAGTGGCTGGTAGTTTCGAACTGCTGACCTTGCAGTTTGCAGCCTGATTCGTAACTACTACGCTACCAGAGAGCTCCTTTCATACAAGGCAAAAAATATACCTTCAAGGTGGGAGGTTTTCCAAACACAAAGATGGGTCGAAACAGCCTGAACCACATCTCTAAAGGATTAGGTTTTCTGGAAAGGGACTGAGCACCGTATAGTGTAGCCCATTCTGGATAAGCATTGTAAGCACTGACACACTGCTCTGGTTCCCTCCTAAAGCTGGGGGTTGGGGTACAGAACTTATAAGACCAACTGCAGTATGCATTTCCCAGAACACTGGATGGAACAGAAACACTCCTCATTCCTCAGTTTTTACACCTTTAAACTGGAAGGGCCCTTGGGGAGTTCCAGAATAATGACTTATTTCAGACCAGTCTCCTATAAAGGATTAGAATCCCTTACATGAGTCAAGACCAATCTTCACTATGGACTGGCCTATTATAACCTTGGGAACCCATAGAAATAAGAGTACTGGGAGGGCCTAGAGAAGATCTTGCCCATGCAGTAATTACAGGGCACCATCGGAAAGCTTCTCTGCTTTGCTGACTGCCACATTAAAATACAAAGAAATAGACCCAGAAAAGGGAAATGCCTGATTCACAGCCTTACCCCTCTGTACTGATTATAACTGGTCTCTTGGGATTGAGGCCAAAGGCACACTCCAGGTAGCAGTAGGAGGAAATGGATTTGGTAAGACTCAGTGAAATGGAAGCAGGGGATTCGACTGGGGTGAGGGTGGGAGCAGACAGAGGGTAGGAGATCAGTAAAAAAGGAGACAATCACCATGAAATAGCATAAGGGAATCTTAAAAACAATCCTGGAAGCTTGTCCAAGTTTCCCTGAAGGAACGGAAAAAGAACTAATATAAAGATAGTGCTTACCCATCTCCATAAGGCTGGTGAACCCTGGCAGGGCAGGGCAGCTCCTTGGGCCCTTCCCTAGGTTGGGGGCACTGGACGACCACTGTTTGTACCCATCTACCAGGGACTTCAGGCTGAATAAGCAGAAATGGGTAAACTGTGAGAACTGGTTTCTTATCTTACTCTATCCTAGGTTCCATGGGACTGTGGAAATGTGTCTACCCATTTGCTCAATTATAGCAAAGCTCAAAAGGCTTAGAGCATAGGCAACACATCTTACAGAGCCCACTTACTTTGTAAAATAGTGCACATGCTTAAGGGATAAAAAAAAAGTGATGGAATGGCATCTAGATCCCTCACATGCTGCTGTGGAAAGACCCAGTGGGCAGACAGAAAGAATAAGGACTGCCTAGGACCAGCTGAGATCTTGCCTGAGCTCATCTTAAGGGAGAGACAATCAACCCACAGATGGTGAATACAACATATTAGTGACATCAAAAATACTGCAATGCATATACTTGCAGTGCAAGGCAAACACTGAGCACTTGTAGACAGAGATGGACCAATGGACCAGGCCACTCTACTCAACTCCTCCTTCCAAGCTATGGCATGCTGAGGCAACTTTCAAAGCCATTCACTTTTAAAAACAAAAGCAACCAACAAAATTATCTCTCTAAGCTGCATCAACCCAGTGCACTTTGGGACAGATCTGTGTAGGTTGTATTTAATCCCTCTGCTTCGTCTAGGGGTAAAGAAGTAGGCAGGACCAGAAAGGGAATGAAGGGGGAATCATTCCCCATAAGTCCTTTCTCTAGAGCAGGGTGGGGAACATCTGGCCTGTGGGCCGTATAAGGCCTGTGAAATCATTTGACCTACTAAGGCAACCGCAGTTCCAGTCATCACATTAGGGGTGAGTTAATTAAATGGTTGACCAAATATAGCAGGTTAATGTTTAATTTGATAATTTCGTATGGCCCGCAAACGACATTATAAAATGTAGCAGACAAAAGTTTCTCCATCCTCCTCTAGAGGATGATACAGAGAAGATCACATAATTGTTGGACTTCAGTTTCCTTAGAAAAACCAGATTATAAAACTAGAAGTGACTTTTTTTTTTTTTAATGGCTAGCTAGTACTATTCAACTAAAGTCTACTCTTCCTAAGGCTCCAGTCCATCTTGAGTGGGAGGGAGAAGGACCAATTTTTTCCCATACCTGCGAACTCTGTTTCCAGCACTATCAGAAATACCCATAAAATAAAGTCTATTTCTAAACCACTAGTTCTAACCAAAATCCAGAGCCAGAGATAAGTGTATTTATTGCTAAACCCATAGCCTGAGATTTCTAACTGAAAATCTTGCAATATCACCTCCAGCTCTGAATCCCAGGAAATCCAGATTAACAAAGTCAAGCTAAAGATCAAAGGCGGAATCGCTATGTATCATCTCCCTATAACTGAAGGTGTCAGGGATAGCCCAACAAATGACTTGTCCAGAGAAGTGAAGAACAAGAAAAAGTGAGATCAACACAAATTTTCCCAAGGTGCACTGCTTACAAAAGTTAAATTATAAAGTCAACTTGATTCTAGGTTTGATGCAGTGGGAACAAGGAAATGACAGGGAATTGTTACCAGCAAAAGTGATGAAGGGGTGAAGTAGACTCACCCCAAGTGGAAATGTGGAGATTCTGATGGGGTACTTAAACCATTAGCTTTCTCGCGTCTCTGAGGGGATCTTCAATGAATAAAGAGAATCAGTAGCAGGCAAGAAGACACATCCAGCTAAGCCTCTCCCACACCAGAACCCTCAAGGCTAGTGCTGCCAGCCACCCTCCCCTTTCCTGGTCAGCAAAGCATACACCATGCAAGACTCTAACAACATGGCCCTGTTACACACCCAGGGCCTCCTGACCTCTAGGACAAAGGTCCATGGGCAGCCATAGCTTAACTGCAGAGGTCTGACTTCATACATACCCAAGCTTTGTACAGACAGCGCATACTTTTCCTATAGAAATAGACTGATTTTTTTTTTTTTTAAGGCTAATATTTTAAAGGATGAAGACACTACCAAGAGTCACAAAGCACAAATTCACTTAACATTACTGACTTCAAAATAGCTTTTTCCCATTATATATTTGCTTCAGATAACAGGTACTAAAATTAAAAGAGATTTTCAAATAATTTCTGACATCAAAGAGGTCTTTCTTTGAGATTTTGTACTAGATCCCTCTATACACAAAAAATTAAGTCAATACTTTGAACTGCTTCAAAAAGTTTGTGAGAGTGAATTTATGTAGGGAGGAAGAAAATTCTAAATACCTTATAGAAAAATCAAGTCATTTGATATATTAGCAAAACAAAATACAAAAAAGAAACAAAACCCTTAAAAGTAAAACAGAGCTACAGAGCCTAGTGGGAATCCATAGCTAGACTGGTAAGTCTTATCACGAATCATACTAATGTTAGAACATAAAGGGACCGTGAGTAATGACTCTCTTAGATCTGGCTTAACCTTCTTGGGCCCAAGGTTCTGAGAACAGATGAGGGGGCTTTTGCTCCTAGAGAACTTAGTAGACAGAACAATTTGCCATCTCCCAAGGGTTCAAACACTGAGTTCTCACAATGCTTAGGTAGTCTACCATATATATTTAAAGTTTCCCTCCAAAAATATCCAGTAGTTTCTCACTCCTGACTGTGCTACTTTCCCCTAGTGTCACTGTGAATAACAAAGGCTAGATGGAATCTGGAGAGAACACAAGCAGATAGTCAGTCCTTCATGAACTCAGCTGTTATTTTCACCCTTAGCTCAGATCTAACACAGGAAAACAGTTGGACGTGGACTCTTAGCATTTGAAGGATTACAGATGTCCATTACAGGTTCAGAGTATACGAAAGTAGGTATCTAAAGTCTCAAAGTCAACCTTGGAAGCTCTATGGAAAATCATTAAAAAGAGCAGGAGTAGGGAACTGCTTATCCTCACACTTAGAAAAGTCAAAAATCACTGCCGTAGACATCTACATCAAGAACAACTAGAAACCATTAGGTCAGTTCTTTCAGGTATGAAGGATACTTGCCAAGGAGCAGAGAGGATGTATCATCACCACTGCTAACATTTACAATGTTTATGATGTGCTGGCCAATCTTCTAGCACTCCATGAACACGAACTTCTTTAATTCTCACATCAGCTCCATGAGATAGGTACTATGACTATTCTCATTTTAGAGATGAGCGCACTGAGGCTTAAGATCGCACAGCTAGGATTTGTAGAGCCAAGATTCACTCAGGCAGTCTGGTGTTGGCATCCAAGTTCTTCACTACTACCATATGAGTGAGTAGCCTGTAACAGCAGTACCACACAAGCAGTACCACAGCACAACCAAGGCACCGAGGTGTGTGTGGTGCTTTTTACATAGAGGGCCTTCGCACCTGTCAGTTGTTGCTATGTGCCAGGGGCTGAAAGAGGGACTGGTGGCTTGAAGTTACATCCAACCGGAATCCCTGGGGGGTGCTAATGATTAACACACTTGGTTGCTAACCGAAAAGATGGACGTTCGAATACACCTAGAACTTCTTGGGAGAAAAGCCTGGCAATGTACTTCAGAAAAATGAGCCATTGGAAACCTTATGTAGCACAGTTCTACTCTCCCTCTCATGGGGTTACTATGAGCTGAAATGGACCTGTGAGCAGCCAGCTACTGGAACTACCAGGGCTGGGTTATTCTGCCTGACCCTGCTTCAGGAAAAGCCTCCTGTGATCCCTGTTATTCTTCCACCTCTGAACAGGTATTTTACAAGGAAGAGGTAGGTAGGTAACAGTGAAACACTCAAGTTAAGACTTTTTACATTTGGTTAGTATTTGGACTAGTGGGTACTTTCAAGGATTGGCAAAATCTTGCCCATTACCTGTTTTGAATTTTTTTTTATCCAGTATGGTAAAATATGTATGTGTTGTTGTTGTTATGTGCTGTGGAGTCAGTTCCAACTCATAGCAACCCTGTACAGGGTTTCCGAGGCTATAAATCTTTACAGGAGCAGAACGCCTCATCTTTCCCCCGCAGAAATATGTATGTAGTAAGACATTAAAACATCTGTCATTTCAATATCCTGCACATGCACAATTTAGTGACATTAATTGTGTTTATCACGTTAAGCAGTTATCACCATTAGCCAATTCCAGACTTCTGCTAGAACACAGCCACATTCACTGATGTACTATGTATATTCTATAGCTGCTTTTGTGCTATCACAAGCTGAGTTGATTAGATGCATCAGAAACTATATGGACTGTAAAGCCTAAAACATTTATATCTGGTCCTTTACAGAAAAAAAATAAAATAATTAAAACACTTGTCCCCTATTCTACGAGGTTCCAGGGAACAAGGAAATTACAAAATGGTACTATAAAGATCAAGAAACTTGTAATTTCTCAGAAAGGACTGAAACACACAACAGAGGAAAAGATTTAAAATCATGCACCCATATTTAAAAGAGAAAGATTTCGCATCATCTGGCTCTTACCCTTCATCTCCTGACGCAAGTTCCTTCTGACCAAATGTACTTGGCCCCCACGTCCGTCCCTTCTTCTTTGGTGCTCTCTTCTCCTCTTCCTCACCATCCTCCTTTGGGATGACTGAACTCCGGCCCCAGGTTTTGCTGCTTTCACCTGGTGTCACTGTGAATCACAAACACTGGATGGAATCTGGAGAGAACATAGGCAGCACCTCCCCCGAAATTAACCTTGACTCCAACACAAACACACACACACACATACACACTTATAGATACTAAAAAGAAGTTAAAACTCATTAAAAACTCTGTACCCCTGTAAAGCCTTGGAGAAAAGTGAAGAGTTCTCAGCTATCAACTATGTAGAACTCTCAAATTACTACACAGGAGAAAAGATTCTAAATTCTCATAAGGCCAATGTAAAGCTGAAGCTCAAGCCAATCAGACATTAGAGTTCCAAAAAGATCTGATTTAAGAAACTTGTTTTGTTGGATGGGGTAGGTCAGTGAGAGATGGGAAGGTAAGGACACTGAGGGAGAAATAAAGAAGAAGAAAGACATGGATATGCAGAACAAGTTTTCAGAAGAATGGGTTTCAACCCAAAGAAAGAAAATAAGGAGCTCATGACTCAGGAGGGAGGAAGTTAGGAGTAGAAAGAGAGTTGGAAGGAAGAGTCTGTTGTTGTTAGGTGAAGTTGGTTCCAACCCACAGTGACCTTATACATGAAGGTATAAAACACTTCACAGTCATGTGTGATCTTCACAATTGTTGTTATGCTTGAGACCACTGCTGCTGCCACTGTGCCAATCCATCTCGGAAGCTTTCTTCTTTTGTGCTGACCCTCCACTTTACCAAGCATGATATCCTTCTCCAGGGACTGGTCCTTCCTGATAGTATGTGTGAAGTATGAGACATGAAGTCTGGCCATCCTGGTTTCTACGGAGCATTCTGGCTGTACTTCCTTCAACACAGATTTTTTCTTCTGGCAGTCCATAATTCAAAATAATTCTTCTATGGTCTTCCTTATTTACTGTCCAGCTTTCATATGCATATGAGGGTACTGAAAATACCATGGCTTGGGTCACATGCACCTCAGTCCTCAAACTAATATCTTTGCTCTTGAATATTTTAAAGAGGTCCTGTGTAGCACATTTGCCTAATGCAATATATTGTTTGATTTCTTGACTGCTGCTTCCATGAGTGTTGATAGTGTATCCAAATAAAACGAAGTCTTTAACAACTTCTTTTCTTCATTTATCATGGTGTTATTTATGCGTCTATCTGTGAGGATTTTTGTTTTCTTTATATTGAGGTGAAACCCATACTGAAGGCTGTGGTCTTTTATCTTCATCATTAAGTATTTTAAAGCCTATCGGCTTTCAGCAAGCAAGGCTGTATCATTTACATATATCTCAGGTTGTTAACTAGTCTTCCTCCAATCCTGATGCCATGTTTTCCATATACTCCAGCTTCTCAGATCACTTGCTCAGCATACAGATTGAATAATTATGGTGCAAGAATATAGTTCTGACATATACCTTTCCTGATTTAAACCATTCAGTATCCCCTTGCTCAGTTTGAATGACTGTCTGTTGCTGTATATATAGGTTCCTCATGAGCACAATCAAATGTTCTTCGTAATGTTATCCATAACCTGTCATGATCCACAGTCAAAAGTACTGCATACTCAAGAAAACACAAGTAAACATCTTTTTGGTATTCTCTGCTTTCAGACGAGATCTGGTATCAGCAATGATATCTCTAGTTCTATGTCCTCTTCTGAATCTAACTTGAGTTTCTGACATCCCTGTTAATGTACTGGTATAACCATTTTTTAAATTATCTTCAGTAAAATTTTACTTAATGTGATATTAACGATATTGTTCAATGATTTCTACATTCTGTTAGGTAACCTCTCTTTGGAATGGGCAAAAGTAAGGATCTCTTTCAGTTGGCTGGCTAGTTAGCTGTCTTCCAAATTTTCTGCCTCCAGTACTTTAATCTTTGATTAAAGATTTCAATTTGTATTCTGTCAATTCCTGGAGCACTATGGACTTCTTCAGTGCAGCTTGGACTTCTTCCTTCAGTGCCAT